CACACCCCTATTTGCGAGTCGATGGTCGGCTTGCTACTGGGGACCCTCGACAAACACACACACACACACACACCTAGTTTGTGAGTCGATGGTTTACATGCAACTGGGGGCCACCATAGAGACACACGCACGCACAAACGCGCTCGCGCACACACACACACACACTTAGTTGCGAGTTGATGGTTGACATGCAACTGGGGACCACAACAAACACACAAAAGCACCCTTAGTTGCGAGTCGGTGGTCGGCTTGCAACTGAGGGGCCCCAACAAACACACAGACCCTTAGTTGCGAGGTGATGGTTGACATGCAACTGTGGACCCTCGACAAACACACACACATTCCTAGTTGCGAGTCAGTGGTTGACATGCAACTGGACTCGTAGAAACACACTCAACTCCCCTCCCCCTTCACGAGTTGTGAGTCAATGGTTGGCCCGCAACTAGGAGCCCTCAACAAACACACATTGAGAACGCCCCCTCCCCCAGTTGCGAGTCGATGGTTGACTTGCAACTGGGAGCCCTCGACAAACACACACATCCTTAGTCGTGAGTCGATGGGTGACATGCAATTGGGGATCGCGACAAACACACATAGACACCGCCCCCTAGTTGTGTGTTGATGGTACAACTTCAGTTGCGAGTCGATTGTTGTAACTAGGGCCATCGACAAACACACATACACCACCCCCTCCTCTAGTTGCGAGTCGATGTGCTTCAGTTTTCGAAACAAAAACAAACAGAAAAATGGAAGAACATGGGAGGGGAACGGGACAACAGGCGGAGGGGAACATGCGAAAGGAGAGTGACAGACTCGATGGAGGCTATCGTCTCAATCTAATGTACTCTGGGGCTAGACTCTTCGTATTCTAAAAAAAAGCCCATATCAAACAAGGTGACGGCGGCCCAACAAAAAAAAAACAAAAAATAGTCGCGCTCCATTGTAGGCCTCCCAGCCCGACAAGACGATACAACAGGACACGGATCAATCACGACACGTGCCATCACTCGAGCGTGAAAAACAAAGCACAAACAAATCAGACGGCTGGACATAAAACTGATGTTGCCAAAAATAATCAAATTTAAAAAAACGTAGATTACAAACAAATAAATTTAATAGATAAAGGAGAAAAAAGAAAGCGGAAAATAACACGGCCCAGCTCTTTGAATTCTGCCCGTACAAAAAGGCCTAGGCGCAGACAAAAAAAAGAGCAAAAATGGCAGAGCGCACCAGCGTATATAACAAAATATAAAAACCCACATACTCAGATCCCATTCAGAAAAAGGGACAATGCCGATCGGGAAAACAGCCCAAGAACACTAGTGCGACACGGGCCTTAGCGACAACAAAAACAACAGTTCAAGTCAAAGAAAACGACAACAGTTTGCATAAATCTTAAAGCCCATAATCATGTGGTGGACAATTTAGATGTGACATCCTTAAAAGACATCTAGATGTGATTTAGTCATTCTGATGGATATATGTATATGCCACCCGTGCGTGTCTCGCTGGCATGTGGGCCCTGGCGCCACGTGTATTTGGTAACGAAAAGATAAGCATGAAAGCATTATTCTTTGGAATGTTATAAGGCCTCATTTGGAAAATTGGTTTTTCATGAGATTTTTGTAGGGATTAAATCATGTGGTAGTTTTCTTTTACTATGGTGTCCTTTGGATTGTAGGATTGGATTTGAAAATTCATAGAGAAACCTTACTTTTTCTTCATGCTCCAAAATGTTATCTGACTACCGTTGGCCTAGGGTAACCCCAGCAAACCACCTCCCTGCCGTTGAGAAGAGGATCGACCCTGCGCCCTCCTGCGTGTGCTCGGGCGCCCTTCGCCACTGGGCTAAGAAGGCTTCTAGTAAATGTTTGGTGTTTAAAATGCCACATTGTTTCAATCCTGAAAATCCCTATTTTTTCATTTTCTCACAAGGCAGTTTTTTTATAGCATGGCAATTTTTTTAACAAGTATGGCATTTTTATTAATGAGAGTTGACAGTTTTACTTTTTTATAGCATCGTACTTTTTAAGAGGATGCCTTTTTATTATTAATGAGTGATGATATTTTTTATTATTAAGAGATGGCATTTTTATTTTTATTGGCATGGCAATTTTTATTAATAAGCGCATGGAAGTTTTTATAAAAATGGCAGTCTAATTATTAAGGGATTTCATTTTTTATTATTAAATGATGGCATTTTTATATTAAGAGATGTCATTTTTTCGTTTATTAGGAGATGACATTTTTAATATTAAGAGATGGCATTTTAATTTTTTAATAGATGGCATTTTTATTTATCAAGAGATGGCATTTATTTTTATTAAGAAATGACAGTTTTATTATTAAGAGATGGCATTTTTATCCCAAGGAATGGCGGGTTTAAAAAAATAGCATGGTATTTTTTTCATTTGTGTAGTTCATACAACTTTTTTAATCATATGCATTTGCATATTTTATAAAATTAAAGAGATGACATTTTTCATAAGTTAGTTTATGCCATTTTTAGGGGTCTTTTTTGTTGGCATTTTTTTAAAATAAGGGGAGTTAAACCGGGCCTCTGGCCCAAATGCATGGTCGCTCTGGAGGTGACGGTGTCCTGGACTATGGGGTGCCAACCTATGTGACCCACAGTCCATGGG